TTAATTTGTTTTTTTATATTATTAGATTAAACCTGGTTGTACTAGAGTTCATTCTAGCTCAAAACATAGACTCCACAAAAGTCATTATATTAGACCTTAGTGCAATTCAAGTGAGAGTCTTGTTCTATTTTTAATTTGTATTTTTATATTATACCTAATTGTACTTTAGTTCATTCCACCACAACACATAGACAACATCAACTTCATTATGTGTAGCAGTGACTATACTCTATATGACCAAAATACTCTAGCTATATACTTGTCCAAACTTCCCACCACTACAGATATCAGTACAAGAACTCAACACACAACTCAGGATATAAATAACCATAATTTAAACCTAGAAGATGATTGATCACGTTGACCCTGATCTAAACCTCCATAATCTGACACCCAATCAAAACCTATTGGAAAGTAACTGCCTTTATTACACAGCATCACAAGCCAGCACTATCCTAAACAATGCTAAAAGTCTATCAGTACTTAACTACAACATCAGGTCCTTAAGCAAACACTATGATGACCTCCTGGCACTCCTCGAATCACTAAAGACACCCTTCTCCTGCATTATTCTTACTGAGACCTGGCTTAAGCAGGACACAATAGATATCTACCCTCTACCAGGATACACGGCAATTCACAACTGCAGACCAAACCAAGTTGGGGTGGTATTGCAATCTATTACTCTAACCAATTATCTTGTATTAGCACCACTTGCTTTAGTGATGAATATGGGGAATACTTTTTGCTAATTTTACTGTAAAAAAACCCTTTAAAACACCTATAACAATCGGTGCCATTTACCGGATACCTCACACAAACATCCCAAATTTCAGTGAGAAAATTAAAGTCCTAATAACAAACAGACAAATGAATAAGCACCACCTTCTCTTAGCTGGAGACTTCAACATCAACCTTGGCATACTAGATGATCAGCCTGTAACTGATTTCATCAACAATATGAACAACACACTTCTCACACCAACAATAACTAAACCAACCAGGCTCACTGAGACAAGTGCAACCATAATGGACCACATATGGACCAATATACTAGCCCCCCTTAAATCAGGGATAATCACAGATAGCACTACAGACCACTACCCTACCTTCCTCCTGACAAACGATTAGTAAACCACCACTTGAATACAACAAAGTCTCATTTAAACTCCATGATGAGGCCTCAATAAGGAAGTTCACAGCTGACCTAGAGACTGTTGACTGGCCTACAGAATTCTCCAAGGCCAATGGTATTGATGACTGGACAGACATTTTTCTTAACAAATTACTTAGACTATATAACAAACATTGTCCTATAAAAACGAAACAGATCACAAAACAAACGGCTTGGTTGCCCATGGCTAACCAGCACCATTCTGAAATCCATTGACAAGAAACACCAATATGAAAAGCAATGTAGACAGGGGTTAATACACAAAGATATTCTTAAACACTATTCATCAGTTCTCACCAAAGTAAAAAAAAAAAGCCAAACAACTATACTACTCCAGTAGATTCACAGACACTAGAGGAGATAAAAAAAAAGACCTGGAAAACACACTCTCTCAGATTCTAGGGACCCACAAACTGAAAAAAACAAGAATATTGTCCTAACTAAACCTAATGAAACACCACTACATCCCACTGACACAGCTAACAAGATAAACGACTTCTTCTCAACCATAGGATCTAATCTCGCCAATAAAATCCCACATACCAATGCCCATGCCGGGGACTACCTAGATGGAAATTTCCCAAATTCCTTCATCTTGCACCAACTGAGCCCACGGAAATCACCGAGATTATAAAGTCACTTAAAAATAACTCAGGAATCTGTCTCATGTCCCACCATTACTGTACAAGCGAGCGGCCCATGTCCTTTCGCAAAGCTATTTCATTACTTTTTAACAAGTCACTAGAAACTAGCACCTTCCCGAAAACTACTCAAGATGGCAAGGGTTACACCAATACATAAAGGTGGTGACCTACAAACTTAAACAACTATAGGCCAATATCAAAACTTACCATTGCTATCCAAAATCTTTGAGAAACTCGTACACAAAGGAGACTATAAAACATTTATAACGACACAAAACATACTCAACCCCTGCCAATTTGGATTCAGGAAAAATAAAAGCACTAATGATGCAATCATAAAAATGCTAGATCTGCTTTACACAGCATTGGAAATAAGGAATATCCACTAGGAATTTTTATTGACCTAAGAAAAGCTTTTGACACAGTAGACCCCGACATCCTACTCCAAACTTGACCATTACGGTATAAGAGGCCATGCGCTTGCTTATTTCAAATCTTACATTACTAATAGGTATCAGTATGTCACCATTAAAGACACAGCATCAACAACACGGCCACTTGATACTGGAGTTCCGCAGGGAAGTGTCCTTGGTCCCCTGCTCTTTCTCATATACATCAATGATCTTCCAAACGTATCCCAACACCTGAAACCCATTCTCTTTGCTGACGACACAACTTATGTCATCTCTCACCCTAATCTTGCCACCCTCAACACCATTGTTAACGAGGAGCTGATCAAAATATCGACTTGGATGACAGCCAATAAACTTACGCTTAACACTGACAAAACCTACTATATTATGTTTGGTAGCAGAGCAGGAGATGCACAAATTAACATTAAGATCGACAACACTCTAATTACCAGACATAATGAGGGCAAATTCCTAGGCCTATACCTTGACAACAACCTGAATTTCAGCACCCATATCCAACATATAACCAAAAAAGTATCCAAAACGATACTACGTGCCGCAAAATGCCCTTCTCACACTATACCACTCACTTATTTATCCATACCTCACCTATGCATTTGTTGCTTGGGGATCAACTGCAGCAACACACCTAAAGCCAATAATAACCCAACAAAAAGCTGCAGTAAGAATAATCACTAAATCCCATCCCTGGCAACACCCCCCCCACTCTTCATAGATCTAAACTTACTCCCTGTTCAGTACATCCACACTTACTACTGTGCAATCTACATCTAGCAGGACCTTAAACTCCAATATCAACCTTCACCTAAAACACTTTCTTGATAGTTGTGACAGAACCCACAGGCATAACACCAGACACAAACATCTCTACGACATTCCCGTGTCGAAATAAACCTTTACAAAAATTCAATGTATGTCAAAGGCCCTAAAAAACTGGAACACCCTACCTGAGAACTCTAGAACTGCAGACACATTCATCACCTTCAAAACTACCATTAGAAAAAAATCTTATCTCCCTGATACACCCCGTCAGCTAACTACACGAATACCACCTGGTGGTTCATACTTACACTCACTCACCCATTTGACCATAAACAGAAATATTAATCTCAATCTTAAAATAATGAATCCTGTGATATTCCAATTCTGAAACTATGTACTGTGCCAAAACAAAAGCATTCACATTGCTAAACTCACAAACTAGTATTTAGTCACTTAGCCATAATACCAACTTACCTCATAATTTGTAATATTTTAAAATTAAGATTTAAACTAAGTCTGCCCGAAATGCCTAGCCATGCTAGGTGTTCTAGTGGTACACTCTGTAATCATTATTTTACTACATGTAAACCACACAATAACCAAATTCTGTAAATTCAGCATTGTAATCCTTATAGAGAATAAACTTTGAATTGAATTGAATTGAATTGAATTGTATAGTTTTGATATTCAGTACAGTTAATCCCAGAATTCATGTCCTTTGATTATCCAAAAATTTTTACTGAAGGGTTTCCTGCAAATAACTTTAGTTACTTGTTGTTTTCCTAGTGTCCACTGTTTTTGGTTTGCACATTACCCCTAAATTAAAAATCCACCACAGGATTTTATTAAAAAAGATGGATATCATCCCATTTCCTTATGTCTCTTTCTCTCTGGATAATTTTTATTTTTTTAATGAATGTCAGTAAATAAAGAGATATGCCTTTTGAAATACAGTGAATCCAAAACTAATTGTATTCACAGATTATCAACTTACAGGGATTCTAGGGGGCCTAACTCATTAAAATTTGGGGTTCAACTATACATATATGTATTTTTAAATATATTGGTACTGTATAATACTAAAACAGTGGACCCCCGACATTCGATGGCATCGACATTCGATAAATCCGACATTTGATGCATTTTAACGCAAAAATTTCGCCTCAACATTCGATCGAAAACCTGCTATTCGATACGATTTGTACTAGACGTGTCCACATGTGGCCTGAACTGCCCCATGTGTGCCAGTGTTTACAAGCCAGCCAGTGTGCGCGCATCTAAGGATACATTCGGTACATTCCATATTATCCATATTATCACTGTTTTTGGTGCTTGTTTCTGCAAAATAAGTAACCATGGGCCCCAAGAAAGCTTCTAGTGCCAACCCTTCGAGAAAAAAGGTGCTAATGACTATTGAAATGAAGAAAGTGATAATTGCAAAGTACGAAAGTGGAGTGCGTGTGTTGGAGCTGGTCAGGTTGTATAGTAAACCCCAATCAACCATCTCTACTATAGTGAGCAGGAAAACACTAACACCATCCACACTCTCCCCTCCTCCCATCCTATCAACCATCTCCAGATCTTCATTAAAGGTAAGTGTCAATTATTCTATTCTTATTAATCTATTGTTATTGTTGTTATTGTAATTATTCTATTGCATTAAACTTAATATTTCATGTGGTAAAATTTTTTTTTCATACTTTTGGGTGTCTTGCACGGATTAATTTTATTTCCATTATTTCTTATTTTTAAAATTAATTCGACTTTCGATATTTTCGACATTCGATGAGCTCTCAGGAACGGATTAATATCGAATGTCGGGGGTCCACTGTATGTACAGGACTGGAACAGTAATTGTTTGATTTGCATTTTGTGATATATGAACAAATGTAGTCCAACAAAAATTTTGCACTGTATATGCCAGGTATTGATTGAACAGTTTGGTGGAGTGGGATTCATAAAGTTTTTTTTTTTTCAAACAGGTAATATACAATGGTGAAAATGGGAGCAAACATTTTCCAAAATGTGAGCAGGCAATGTAGAAATCTTGGAGTTTTGTATCCCCATCAACTTAAAACATTGTCATACAGGAACAGTACCAGCAGAGTATCTGAAGGGCACATGGTACCCTCCTCATCAGTACCATTACCATGGCCAGGAAGAAGGTAAGCTGAAAACTCTGTTGTTATATTTATTAGCAAAATGAACATTATAACATTTAAATGAAGGACTTATAATAGCAATCCTTGTAAGAACGGGATTTTTCCATTTTATAAAATTAGTTGAATTCTTGTAGAGAAGTGTTTCTCAGCCGAACTTGGCAGATGACCCACCTGTTCTTTCAGGTAACACAAATAATGGATAATGCGCTCTCAACCCCCACCTCTCACTGCTTGTTTATTGTTACTAGTATAATCATGGAAAGTGCTAAACATGTAGGGATCATGCAACACCTGGGAAATGGGAGGCACAATCAAGTTTGATTCAAGGAAGGGAAGAGTAGCTCAAGTTCCTTGGATCATGAGCATTATTCTTGAAGGGTCCCACTATGAGAAATGCTGTTGTAGGGTTACAAGAATCATAGTACCTTGTGTGTGTGTGTGTGTGTACTCGCCTAATTGTGCTTGCAGGGGTTGAGCCTCAGCTCCTGGCCCCACCTCTTCACTGGTCGCTACTAGATCTTCTCTCTCCCTGCTCGATGTGTGTGTGTGTGTGTGTGTGTGTGTGTGTGTGTGTGTGTGTGTGTGTGTGTGTGTGTGTGTGTGTACTCACCTGATTGTGGTTGCAGGGGTCGAGACTCAGCTTCTGGTCCCACCTCTTCACTGTCCGCTACTGCGTCCTCCCTCTCCCTGCTCCATGAGCTTTATCATAACTCGTCTTAAAACTATGTATGGTTCCTGCCTCCACTAAATCACTTGCCAGACTATTCCACTTCCTAATAGCTCTGTGGCTCAAGGAATACTTCCTAACATCCCTTTGGCTCATCTGAGTCTTCAACTTCCAATTGTGACCCCTTGTTTCTGTGTCCCATCTCTGGAACATCCTGTCTCTGTCCACCTTATCTATTCCATGCAGTATTTTGTATATTGTTATCATGTCACCCCTGACTCTCCTGTCCTCCAGTGTCGTCAAACCAATTTCCCTTAACCTTTCTTCATAGGACATTCCCCTTAGCTCTGGAACCAGCCTTGTTGCAAACCTTTTCACTTCCTCTAATTTCTTGACATACTTGACCAGGTGTGGGTTTCAAACAGGTGCTGCGTACTCCAGTATGGGCCTGACGTACACAGTGTATAGAGTCTTGAACAATTCTTTACTGATGTATCAGAACGCTTTTCTCAGGTTTGCCAGGCGCCCACATGCTGCAGCAGTTATTTGGTTAATGTGGGCTTCCAGCAACGTGCTCAGTGTTATACTCACCTTCAGATCTTTCTCCTTGAGTGAGGTTTGCAGTCTTTGGCCACCTAGCCTATACTCTGCCTGCGATCTTCTTTGCCCTTCCCCGATCTTCCTGACTTTGCATTTGGCAGGGTTAAATTCGAGGAGCCAGTTACTGGACCACACCTCCAGCTTGTGCAGGTCTCTTTGTAGACCAGTGTGCTCACCTAGTTGTGGTTGCAGGGGTTGAGTCATAGCTCCATGAATCCATGCTGCCTGTCATTTATAATCTTGTTACGTTCCAGGTGTTCCACCACTCTCCATGACTTTGCATACTATACACGTCAGTGACACTGGTCTTTAGTTTAGTGCCTCGTTTCTGTATCCTTTCTTAAAGATGGGGATTACTTTTGCTCTCTTCCATACCTCAGGTAGTAGCCCAGTTTCAAGGGATGTGTTGAAAATTGTGGTTAGTGGCACACACAGTGTCTGCTCCCTCTCTAAAGACCCATGGAGAGATGTTGTCAGGTCCCACCGCCTTTGAGGTGTCAAGTTCACATAGCAGCTCCTTCACCTCCTTGGTTCTGTGTATTTCATCCAACACTTGTTGGTATATCCCTTGTTGGTGTACCCCTCTGTTTTGTCTTCCCATTGTCCTTTCTGTCCCCACTGTAAATATTTTCTTAAATCTTGTGTTGAGCTCCTCACACACTTCTTGGTCCTTTCTTGTTAGCTCCCCACCTTCTTTCCTCAGCCTGATTACCTGGTCCTTGACTGTTGTCTTCCTCCTAATGTGGCCATAAAACAGTTTCGGCTCAGACTTGACTTTTGATGCTATGTTGTTTTCGTACTGTTGCTGGGCCTTCCTCGTTATCTGTGCATACTCATTTCTGGCTCTTCAACTTATCTCTATTTTTCTGGGTCCTATGCCTTCTGTACTTTTTCCATTCTCTAGTGCACTTAGTTTTTGCCTCCCTACACCTTTGGGTAAACCAAGGGCTCATTCTGGTCTTCCCATTATTTTCCTCTGCCTCCTTGGATTTTGTTATGTAGTCCATCATTTCGTTTACTGACCGTCCTACCAATTCTCTTTCCCACTGAACCACCTGCAGGAAGTTCCTCATGCCTGTGTAGTCTCCCCTTTTATAGTTTGGCTTGTCCCTTTCTACTCCTTACATTCTCCACTTGTAACTCTATGTATTCAAGGCACAGAACAACATGATCACTAGCTCCAAGGGGCCTTTCATATGTGATGGCCTCAATGTCTGAGCTACTCAGGGTGAACACAAGGTCCAGTCTTGCTGGTTCATCTTCCCCTCTCTCTCTGGTAGTGTCCCTAACATGTTGGTGCATGAGGTTTTCCAGTACCACATCCATCATCTTGATTCTCCAAGTTTTGGGACCCCCATGTGGCTCCAGGATTTCACAGTCAATCTCCCTGTGATTGAAATCGCCCATAACCAATAACTTTGCTCTGCTCGAGTGAGCTCTTCTAGCCACCTCAGCTGGTGTGTCCACCATTGTTCTGTAGTGGGTTATACATCACTGCAATGAATACCTTATGTCCCCCAGACTGAATTGTACCTACTATGTAATCCATTCCTTCCATTTCCTGAAATGCTCCTGTCATTCCTCAGGATCTGATATCCGGGTGGGAAGATTGTGTCTGTTATCATCCCAATAAGTTTTGTTTCTGTGACTGCTATGGTGTCTTCATGCCACTCCTCACATTTATTCGTTATTCCATCTGCGTTCGTGTACCTAACCTTCAACTTCTTTTCTAAAACTGTGGTTCGGGGAGAATGGTAGGTTTGGGGAGCAGGAGCCCTGGCAGGGGCCTATAGGCCCTTCTTTGTTTCCTTCTTTATTTCCTTCTGGAGGAGGTTGTGTTTGCTCTTCCACCTGGGTCTGGGTTCTCCTGCTCCCCTCCATCCTTGCCTCCCATTCCTCCTTGTGTCGTTGCTCCCTCTCTTTCAATATCTTCCTTTCTTCTTGTGTTCTGTCTCTGTCAAGGTACACTCTCCGGTACTCTGGTTTGTCCCTTAGTCATGCTTTCTCCTGCAGGATCCAGTTTTGAGCTGATTCTGCCTTGAAAATCACTTTGACTGGTTGTTTTTTCCTCTCGCAAACCACCCAATTCTCCGAAAATTTGTCAACTGGGCCATATCATCCTCTTCTATTGCTTTCATGAGACTTTGTCGTCTTTTTTCTCCTCCTGTTTTCTTGCTTCAAAAGTTTCTCCTTCAACTTCCTGGAGCCCATAGACAAAACCTGACTTCTCCCTTTTGTCCTCCCACTGGACTTCCCTGAGCATCCCCTGAGATGCTTTAGATCCTTCCATTGGGGTGTTTCCTTCCTTTGGTCTCTTCCCTAGCTGATGTCCCTGTGCTCAGCTGTTCCTGGGCAGAGTTGTCTGTTAGAGCCTATGCTCATAGCTTAGCTCCTTCATTGTCTTTTGTCCCCTCAGTTGTTCTCGCTGTTCTCCCCGTCTTTTCCTGGGCCCCACACGGGTCTGATAGGGCCTTCACATACAGTGTAGCTCCTTTGCTTCCTACAGTCCCCTTGTCTGTGACTGTTGTATCAGTTCCTGATGTAGTGGCTATACTGTCCTTTGGTTCTTTAGGTCATTGCAGAATTTTAGTTCCTCTTCTAAGCTCTGTATCTTGGTTTCTGCTGCAATGGCTTTTTGTGTGTGGTGCGCACATGTGTGCGTGTGTGTGTGCATGTGCGCATGCACATGCGCGTGTGCACGAGCGGGCTTACCTAATTGTGGTTACAGGGGTTGAGTCATAGCTCCTGGCCCCTTCACTGGTTGCTAGTAGGTCACTCACTCCCTGCTCTGTTAGCTTTATTATGCCTTTTCTTAAAGCTATGTATGGATCCTGCCTCCACCACCTCACTTTCCAGATTATTCCACTTCCTGACAACTCTGTGACTGAAGAAATACTGTACAATAGGGCCCCACTTATACGGTAGTTTAGGTTCCAGGCTACTGCCGGAAAGCAGACATCGCCAGAAAGCAAAACACCATTTTTTCCACTTATAAATGCATATAAATGCCAGATAACATTTAACTAAAGCACCTTAGAGCAAAAAAATCCATATTACAGTACATTCACTAATTATGTTAAAATATTTGTAGCCTTAATGTAGGGTGAGAGGTGAGTTTTATTTGTATGAAATCAGGTTTGAAATTGAAATTGAAATGTTTATTTCTCTGTTAAGATTACAGTGGGTGGTTTACATATTATAAAACAATAATTTGGGAAGTATGGTAGCCAGCCAGGGCAGCCCTCCCTGCCTCACCCCACCCACAGGTAATGTAAACAAACCAGGCGAATGTGCCTGGTTTTCATTCATACACGTTCATATTTTACCATAATACAAACACTTTACATTGTGTGCAGGTTGTTTCCACATTGATACAGTAGAGTAAATAAAGAGAAACTCTCCCATTCTCATGTAACACCATTTTTAGAAGAAATGATGCTCTGAGTGAAGGCATACGAAAGGAATAATTTTATAGTTACCCTCAGTAATATTATAGTGTACACATTTTCTCTGATGTTGGACTACAAGTTGCCTGGCTACCACAAGTCCTACAAGTCGCCTGGCTACCACATCTCATATTTATGTTAATTTATTCTACTGTGATGTGTATTTATCATGTTTATATGTTACGTAGCATGTTTATTATATAATTTTGAAAAAAATATCATAGATGGATTAATGAAAATGTCTATTTTAACGTAATATATGACATTTAATGCGCCCAGGAGATTATGTATTATTATTAATATGGCATCAAGACTAGAGAGAGACTTAGTGATTTTAATGTGTACCTGCATGCCAGCACACTGTGTAAGTATATTTTGGTACAGGTACACATAAGTATAATTTTCAGGGTACTGTACATATAAAATACATTTGAGGTGGTTTGGTCAATTAGAGAGAATGGATCAAAGTAGAATGACATGGAGAGCGTATAAATCTGTAGGGGAAGGAAGGCGGGGTAGGGGTCGTCCTCGAAAAGGTTGGAGGGAGGGGGTAAAGGAGGTGTTGTGGGCGAGGGGTTTGGACTTCCAGCAAGCATGCGTGAGCGTGTTAGATAGGAGTGAATGGAGACAAATGGTATTTGGGACCTGACGATCTGTTGGAGTGTGAGCAGGGTAATATTTATTGAAGGGATTCAGGGAAACCGGTTATTTTATATAACCGGACTTGAGTCCTGGAAATGGGAAGTACAATGCCTGCACTCTAAAGGAGGGGTTTGGGATATTGGCAGTTTGGAGAGATATACAGTATTGTGTATTTTTATGCTTATATACTTCTAAACTGTTGTATTCCGGCCACCTCTGCAAAAACAGTGATTATGTGTGAGTGAGGTGAAAGTGTTGAATGATGATGAAATTATTTTCTTTTTGGGAATTTTCTTTCTCTTTGGGTCACCCTGCCTCGGTGGGAGATGGCCGACTTGTTGAAAAAAAAAAAACATATAAAATATGCAGTAACTTTAAAACGCTTGAAATTTTGGAAAGTTTCCAGACATAATAGAGTTATGTGCTCACAGAGAATGTAAACAAACCAGGTGGGGTGCACTGTATTAGAAAGACTAGGAGCCATATAGAAAGTTTTGGTCATAATTTGAAATTGCCATATTAGTGGAGCGCCGTAAGGCAAAACACAGTAAAGCGGGGCCCTACTGTACAGTGGACCCTCGTTTTTCTTAATAAATCCATTCCAGAGAGTGTGACTAATGGCGAAATTGATGATTTGTGAAACCATTTTCCCCATAAGAAATAATGTAAATCCAATTAATCTGTTCCAGACACACAAAAGTATTAAAAAAAAATTTTTTTTATCTTAAAGATAGATTTACATGCACAAAAGAATGAACATGCAACATGACACTTACCTTTATTGAAGGCTGTTGTTGGTGGATGGAAGACAGGGAGGAGGGAGAGGGAAGAGAGGTTATTCTTTGGAAGGGGAATCCCCCTCCATAAGGACTCGAGGTACCAAGTCTCTTCTTTGTTTTTAATGCCACAAATCTTTCCATCCTATTCCACATGGCACAAATATCCATTACTACCATCATCACTACTGCCCTCTACTACCACCACAACCACTACCAAACACTACCACCATCACAACCACTACTACCCTCTACCACCCTCACTACCACCCTCTACCACCATCACAACCACTACTACCCTCTACCACCCTCACTACCACCCTTTACCACCATCACAACCACTACCACCCTCTACCACCATCACAACCACTACCACCATCACAACCACTACCACCCTCTACCACTATCACTACCACCACCACTTTCGTATTTTTCTACAATCTTTTTCTTTAATTCTATCGTGTTTCTCACCTTTTTTACCAAAGGGCCGGCACTAGCTTTCTTTGGGCCCATGGTGACTTATTTAGTAGTTTCAAGCACTAAAACAAATAGAATATTACAAAATATATCGTATGAATGCGTGAGATCATTCTCATTCGCTGATAAACAATGGGACACTGACTGTGGCCGTGTAAGGGCTGCTCGTATGTGTCTGGGACGAAAGACTATTTGCAAGTCAAACAACGATTCGCGAGTCAATATTTTGACGAAAAAAGTTACAAGTGTTTTAAATTGCAACTTTTGATGCTTATGAAAAACGAGAGTCCACTGTACTTCCTAACATCTCTGTAACTCATCTGAGTCTTCAACTTCCAGTTGACCCTTTGTCGCTGTGTCCCATCTCTGTCCACCTTGTCGATTCCTCTCGGTATTTTGTATGTTGTTATCATGTCCCCCCTGTCTTCCAGTGCCATCAGGTCAGTTTCCATTAACCTCTCCTCATAGGACATTCCCCTTAGCTCTGAGACTAGTCTTGTTGCAAACCTTTGCACTTTCTCTAATTTTCTGAGGTGCTTGCCCAGGTGTGGGTTCCAAACTGGTGCTGCATACTCTAATATGGGCCTGACATACACAGTGTACAGAATCCTGAACGACTTCTTACTGGGATGTCGGAGAGCTATTCTTAGGTTTGCTAGTCGCCCATATGCTGCAGTAGTTAATTGGTTGATGTGTGCCTCAGGAGATATGTTTGGTATTATAGTCACCCCAAGATCCTTTTCCTTGAGTGAGGTTTGTACCCTTTGGCCCCCTTAGGCTGCGGTCTTCTTTGCCCTTCCCCGATCTTCATGACCTTGCACTTGGTGGGGTTGAACTCCAATAGCCAGTTGGTAGACCAGGCCTGTAGCCTGTCCAGATTCCTTTGCAGTCCTGCCTGGTCCTCCTCTGATTGAATTCTGATTGAATTTGGAGGAATTCGCACATTTGTGTGTGTGTGCAAGCATGTATATGTGTGTGTGTGTGCAAGCATGTGTATGTGTGCAAACATGTGTATGTGTGCATGCATACTCATCTTTATGTGGTTGCAAGAGTCTATTCATAGCTCCTGGCTATGTATGTGTGTATGTATGTACAGTAGAGCCCCACTTGACAGCTTTTCCCTTCATGGCATTCCGCTAATTTGGACATTTCAAATTATAACCAAAACTTGCTGTACGGCTCCCCCCACCTGTCTTTCTAATATGGTCACCGCACCCCACCCAGTTTATTTACATTCTCCGTGAGCAAATCCCTCAGTTATGTCTGGAAACTTTCCAAGATTCAAGTGTTTTCAAGTTACTGAATATTTATATGTTCTCTGATGATTATACTTACGTGTACCTGTACCTAAATACGTACACTTACATGCTGTGCTGGCATGTAGGTACACATTAAAATCACTAAGAGTCTCTCTACTCTTGAAAACGCCTTGATAAAAATAATGATAATAATCTCTTGGGTGCATTAAATGTCGTATATTACGTTAATATAAACATAATCCATCAATGATATTTTTTTCAAAATTATATAAGAAACACGTTACATAACACACAAACGTGATACATACACCCACAGTATAAAAATTGACATAAATATGAGATGCGTTTACCAAGCGGCTTGTAGGAGTGATGGAAGAATAACGTTTTTTCTAGTCCAACATCAATTACTGAGGGATAACTGTAAAAAATATTCCTTTCATATGCCTTCACTCTATCTTTTGCTATTCACGACCTTGTGGGTTTAGCACTTCTCTTTTCTTTTGATAATGATAATAATAATCCATATTATCATTCACTCTAAAAATGGTGTGTTGCATGAGAATGGGAGTGTTGCTGTTTATTTACTCTTCTGTACTAGACTGAGTGATCGCCCACCACCATTCAGTTTGTTTTCATGTTGTCCGAACCCCGTGTATCCCATTCTCTCTCGTTTACTATTTCGTTAGCTAGGTAGCTCTCACTGATGATGGCATCTAAGCTTAGCTGTGATAAAAAGAAGAGTCATAAGCCTTTTACTTTAAGTACCAAGTTAGAAATGATTAAACTTAGTGAGCAAGGTATGTCGATGGCTGAGATGGCACATAAGCTTGGTTTGGCTCGTCAAACAGTTAGTACAGTTGTGAACAATAAGGAGAAATTGTTGCAGGAAATTAAAAGTGCTGCACCAGTGACCACTAGTAAGTAAGTAAGCAAGTTTATTCAGGTATACACAAATACAGTTATAGATTATTATATGTACATAGCAGCATTTGTGTAGAGAACCTAGGATAACCCCAAAAAAGTCAGACAAAGTGACTTATTGCTGACATGGAAAAACTTTTACACTGCCACTCACCTCTCACACATTCATATTAATGTTTTAAGGCAAGTAGCAAGTGTACTGTGTGTGTATTTTACTTTTTATTGTGTGTTTTTTAATGCCTAGTTCTATTGCTAACTTAATATATGTTAGTGTAAACTTGTTATCTAGCATTTATATGCACTTATAAGTGGAAAAAGGGCATTCCACTTTACAGTGATTTCCGCTCTATGGCGGTAGCCTGGAACCTAACTTGCTGTATAAGTGGGGTCCTACTGTATATGTGCAATAATTGTGAACAAGCAATAAAAGATGCACCAGTGTTTGCCTAAAAGTTGCATGGGGTTAGCCTCTTTAAAATAAGATCATCTCCCTCATTTTTAAGAGTTGCCTTAGACTTATTTTCTTTTATACAACAATAGGAAATTTCCTAAAAATAAGTGTCAGACACTTTTGGAATCAGAATTTAAAATCTTTTATAATGAAATGGTTTGGAGTTTGACATCATGTTTGTGATAATTGACATGTTACTAATTTTGTGGTCACTTGGTCATTACTACATATTCGAACCTTATGGGCTTTTTATGCTTTATGCTTATATTCTGTAATATGCTGTCTGCATTTTCTGGCATTTGGCACCCTTCTTGGCACCACTTTCTGTTATTATGGAGGGAGTTGTTCCCAGAACGAATCTGTCTTGATTTCCTACTCTATTTCTGTAACATTGTAAGCTCCTGATGATGTGTTGATTGCCACACAAAAGGCCTAGAACTGTCATTCACCTCCACCTGTGGTTATTTTGCATATGTTATTATTGATAAATTGTTGTTCTTGTTCAGGACCAAATATAGCATCTACATTACCATTAGATGAAGTCCCTCCTAAGAAAGCCAAGGTTGTAGTGTGTGGGGGAGGAATGGTTGGCACCTCAGTACTCTATCATCTGGCAATGCTGGGATGGAGCACAGATACTGTTTTGCTGGAACAGGCAAGGTAATAAGAAGGTATCTCTTCATCAGAACTGTGAAATTATTATGAATTTTGCATCATCTGTGTAATAATTTTGACCTTTTTTAAAAAAGGCACTTAATTTTGTATGTGCTTCACACATATAAGTAATTTTTGCAGAATTGGAGAGGTTTCCTCATGGAGGGGATCTGGATTCCTTGGTAGCATAAAACTCATTAAACCGGAAATGGACATTCTTCATTCAAGCAAACGCCTTGCCCAGGAGTTAGCTGAGGCTGGACATGATACAGGATGGAAGCAGTGTGGGGGACTTCATCTCGCTCTTACTCGTGATAGAATGACTCACTTTCGTAAAATGAAAGCCATAGCAGAGTAAGTAACAATTGAGGAACAGAACTGTAGTGTACTGTGTTTGTTTTAAATTTTGCTATTGATCCTTAAAATATGAAACAATCTTACAGTTGTTAATATGTTCTGTATTGTATATTAATTAGGTATTCACATCAAAGAGGTTACTGTGGAGTTTTTTTTTTTTTTTTTTTTTTTTTTTTTTTTTTTTTTTTTTTTTTTTTTAGTATCATAGGCAGTGAAGAATTCCCCATGGTTTTGATTAATTAACTTTTCCTAAGAATGTTACATGGAATTTTCACTAATGTATCTATGTTTAATCAAGTTTTTACCTTTTATGTGAGCCTCATATAACTTAAACAAAGACAAATAACTGGAAATTTTCAATACTGTACTAATATGAACAAGGAAGAAAGGAGCACCCCTTCCCTGGTCCTCTGTACACATATACATGACTCGCAAAATTGTAATGACACGATTACAAACAAACCACAGTACAGGTGGGGATTGAACTCGTGGCAGGTGAGTCGTAAAACTCCAGGCCAGCATGTAAGCCACTGGGCTAGTTGGCTACAATAAGATTCATCCAGCTAGGTACAGTAGAACCCATGTATCCACTGATTCGGTATCCACAGTTTCAGTTATCCACAGTTTACTGTGGCCCCAAAATACCTCATAATTTTGCATAATAATAGCCCCAAAGCACAAAAGTAGAGAAGCTGGCAGTTCTTCAAAGCCTAAGAGAAGCTGTGAAGTACTTCCCATGAGCGAAAAAAGTGATAATTCTCCACATTTTGTGCATAATTTAACAAACTTTATAATATGTATGTATAGGACTTACATATAGGGTTTGCTACTATCCATGGTTTCAGTATCCACAGCAGGTCCTTGGAACTTATCCCCTGTGGATACAGGGGTCCTACTGCATATTTATGCATCACAGGGAGATAAGCATGGATCCCACTGTGACCACATATGCAGGTTTTTATAGATAATGTGCCAGACTTAAGCTCCCTGAGTTTAGACTACTGCCACAGTTATCCCCGTATAACTTTAACAATTGTTCATATATTCGTGTATGATGACACTTGAGGACTTGACTAGAGTTTGTCACAGCATCTTGGGATTCACTTAAAATTGCCACGAGGTCCATGGAACATTATCCCTCCTTACACCCCGTATACAGGGGTGGCCGAACAAGTTTCTTTAATTTATATATATACAGGAGAGAGTTACTAGCCCTTTGTCCCGGCATTTTATCGCCCTACCCCATGGCTTACGGAGGAGTTCTGTCCACTTCCCGGAGTAAATACAAATAACTGAAAGAAAATGGAAAAACAGTTCATATATGTGCTTGTACATGTATGTGAGGGACTTTTTTTTTTAGAGCTAACCAGAATCTCGCACAGCAACAATTACGGTGCGAGATTCACTTGTAAAATCTCCCTCGGTTGTGTCACACTACTACCTATGCTAACCTCCCTATGTTGTATAAATATACCTGGTTGGATGAATCTTATTGTAGCCAGCCAGCCCAGTGGCTTTCGCACTGGCCTGGAGTTTTATGACTTACTTGCTGCAAGTTCAATTCCCACCTGTACTGTGGCTTGTTTTGCAAGTACATATGTGTATATGGACAAAGTACAAAAGTTCAAACACAAGTTATTAAATGGCTTCCAAGACTAAACAGTATGGAACATGAAAAAGAAGCTGAAGGCATTAGACCTACCTTTAATGAATTATAGGAGGAATAGAGGTGAAATGATAAACAAAGAGTACCCTGTGAGATTACTAAAAGATACAAAAGAATGAAAATGTATGAGTTTGTAGCACCAACATAGAGAATGAGAGGTTATAACTATAAACTAAGAGAGAAAAGGTGTTGAAGAGATACTGAAAATTCTTCATAGAGTAATAGAAGAACAACAAACATTACTGGAGATAGTGCTTCATCTGTGTCACTTTCCAGTGTTTTCACTGCCACTCAAACAAACACAGAGATAAAGACAGAGAATTGGGATTGAGGAGAGAGAGAAATGTATTTAATTTTTTTTTAACACATCAGCCCTTTCCCAGAGAGGCAGGGTAACCCAAAAAAGAAGAAACACTTTCTACATCATACACTCCATCACTGTCTTGCCAGAGGCATGGCAATACTGAAGTTGAAAAACTGCAATTTTTCTCCACCCCTCCTTCAGAGTGCAGCCACCTCCAGGACTCAAATCTGGCTGACTTGTTTCTCTGAATCTCTTCATAAATGATACTTTGCTCACAATCCAACAACACTTATCATAAAAACCATTTGCCTCCACTTGCTTCTATTTAACGTGCTCCTGTACGCTTGGTTGAGGAGGAGTGTCTCAATTCTGTCTTTTTATAATTCACAGGTAATTTTTAAACTTACAATATATTAATAGTCCCTGACCATCTTTTATTTTCTTCAATATTTACAGAGCTAGAGGTACAGAATGTCATGCTCTAACACCTGAGGAAGTGTCTCGGAAGTGTGATATTCTCAACACATCAGATACTGTAGGTGCTTTGTGGGTTCCTGGAGATGGTGTGTGTGACCCTTATAAGCTAACTTATTCTCTCCTAAAGTTAGCACTAGAGAAAGGTAACAAATAGTAATAAATTCTATTTTCTGGCATGGTATTGCAACCTAAGTGTTTATTTTTACTGGCAAAGCCTATGCCAGTAGGTTTATATAATACAGCCTTTCATCACTTAATGACGGAGTTCCATTCCTAAGACCACATCAAATTCAAATTCAATTCAATTCAAATTCAATTCAAATTCAAATTCAAAGTTTATTCTCTATAAGGATTACAGTGCTGAGTTTACAGAATTTGGTTATTGTATGGTTTACATGTAGTAAAATACTAATTACAGAGGGGGCCACTAGAACACCTAGCATGCTAGGCATTTCGGGCAGACTTAGATTAATTCTTAACTTTAAAATATTACAAATTATGAGGTAAGTTGGTATTATGGTTAAGTGACTAAATAATAGTTTGTGAGTTTAGCAATGTGAATGCTTTTGTTTTGGCACAATACATAGTTTCAGTATTGGAGTATCACAGGCCAACTTATGACTAGTTAGGATTCATTATTTTAAGATAGAGATTGATATTTCTGTTTATGGTCAAATGGGTGAGTGAGTGTAAGTGTGAACCATCAGGTGGTATTCATGTAATTAGTTGATGAGGTGTATCAGGGAGATAAGATGTTTTCTAATGGTAGTTTTGAAGGTGATGAATGTGTCTGCAGTTCTAGAGTTTTCAGGTAGGGTGTTCCAGATTTTAGGGCCTTTGACATACATTGAATTTTTGTAAAGGTTTAGTCGGACACGGGGAATGTCATAGAGATGTTTGTGTCTGGTGTTATGCCTGTGGGTTCTGTCACAACTATCAAGAAAGCATTTTAGGTCAAGGTTAATATTGGAATTTAAGGTCCTGTAGATGTAGATTGCACAGTAGTAAGTGTGGATGTACTGAACAGGGAGTAAGTTTAGATCTATGAAGAGTGGGGGGTGTGTTGCCAGGGATGGGATTTAGTGATTATTCTTACTGCAGCTTTTTGTTGGGTTATTATTGGCTTTAGGTGTGTTGCTGCAGTTGATCCCCAAGCACAAATAGCATAGGTGAGGTATGGATAAATAAGTGAGTGGTATAGTGTGAGAAGGGCATTTTGCGGCACGTAGTATCGTATCTTGGAGAGGATCCCAACCGTTTTGGATACTCTTTTGGTTATGTGTTGGATATGGGTGCTGAAATTCAGGTTGTTGTCAAGGTATAGGCCTAGGAATTTGCCCTCATTATGTCTGGTAATTAGAGTGTTGTCGATCTTAATGTTAATTTGTGCATCTCCTACTACTCTGCTACCAAACATAATATAGTAGGTTTTGTCAGTGTTAAGCGTAAGTTTATTGGCTGTCATCCAAGTCAATATTTTGATCAGCTCCTCATCAGCAAGAAGCATACTATAATGGTAGTGGGTTTGTGTCAATGATCTTTCATATTGTTTAAACCCTTTCACTGCTGAGTCCCCTACTTGCGAACTTGCTCTCACTGTCCAAGAATTTAAAAAAAATATATATATTTTTTTTTTAAATGATAATCTTTTCCCAATGGTAATTAGACCAAAAGTATGAAATTTGATGGAAAACTTATGGAATTATGCTCTCGTGAAGTTAGCTGTCTTAGCACTATTTTTGCCCAATTCTGTTGTTCTATTTCGCTAGAACTCCTTTTGTTCTATTGATTGAGTATAAAAAACTGCTCATTTACCTATTTTAACTACCCAATAAAATGATCAGAAATTGGTAATTTAGCCAATTTCATACAAAATTCAAGAAAAGTCAATTTCAAATTAGGGTCCAGAATTAACAAAGCAAGCATTCCTAGCACTAAATAACATTTTTTCTGTTCATTAGTCATGTCTCCAGGCCCCTCTTATATTACGCTTGCTTTTCATTTTTAATTTTTATTCACACAAAAAATAAAAGATTTATTGTTATGCAGAGTACTGCATTATTGTAAAAATGATATAAATAATGTCATTTGACGTGTATTGGATGTGTGACGTGATTTGTTTACTCTTGAACATCGGCAAAACTCAAGCATTTCCGCTACTTTGAGCTCATATATACCATATTTTGTGGCTTATTAAGCACATTTTTTTTTTCCATAAAATGTCTCCAAAAATTATCCTGCATCCTATAAACTGAAGGTTAGTGATGGGAGTTTGGGGTGTGGGGTGGGCTGTAGCTCTCCCAGTTATGTCTGATGCAGAGCCATTGAAACTAAAACAAATCTTATAAGCCGGGTCTTATAAGCCACAAAATACTGTACATATATGTTGGGTTGAGCTCCAACAAATTTGTGTTTCTCTGACAGTCCAGAGGGAACAGAGCAGGAGAAATATCAGGGCTGGAACAAATATGGTGGTACCCCAAGTTTCGTACATAATTCGTTCCAGAAGGCTGTTCTAGTGCCATTACCCAATGAATTGGTTTCCCCATAAGGAATGATGTAAATTAGTATATTAGTCTGTTTCAGACCCCAAAAATACACTTACAAAAGCACTTACAATAATACACTTACATAATTCTTCAAGTTGGAAGCTGTACAAAACTCGGGGTATCATTGTACAGAGATTGTTTACAGCTCACATTGAGCCAGTAAAGCACTAAATTACTGGGAATGCCTTCAAGTCTTGAACATGTACTTATTGAGGCAGAAGAGAGAGATACTATATGATAATATATTTCTGGAAAGTGCTCGAGGGCCTGGTCCCAAATTGTACGCTGCCATAACAACATACTGGAGCAAGAGATATGGGAGGAAGTGCAACATAAACCCAGTGAGGAGCAGGGGTGCAGTGGGGATATTAAGGGAACACTGTATTGACATTCGGGGTCCCAGACTATTCGACATCTTACCAGAAGATATCAGAAACATGGATGGAACAAGTGTAGAAGCCTACAAGATGAAACTGGACAAGTATCTTCACCAGGTGCCAAATCAGCTAGGCTGTAATGGATATGTGGGGGCAGCGGGCCCCCAGCAGCAACAGCCTGGTTGGCCAGGCAAGCACCAGACGAGCCTGGCCCATGGCCGGGCTCCGAGAGTAGTGAAACTTTTGAAACTCTTCAAAGGTATATCAATTTCAAGGTACAGTGGACCCTCAGTTAATGACGTCATCAGATATGTAAAAATCGGATAACAACACGTTTTTGCGTCAGAATATTGGCTCAGTTAACGACAAAGAACTTGGTTAAAATCATTCGTCCCGAATGTGTCCGCATGGCCTTAGTGGCCCGGCCACTCCATATACAGCCAGTGTGCCATTGTTTACAAGCCAGTGAGGACGACTCCACTCGAACATGCAATACATTTTGTATTATTCCATTGTTTTTAGTACTTGTAACTGCTAAATAAGCCACCATGGGCCCAAAGAAAGCTTCTAGTGCCAGCCCTGTGGTAAAGAGGGTGAGAAATACTATTGAATTAAAGAAAGAGATCAATGCAAAATATGAAAGTGGAGTGTGTGTCTCCAAGCTGGCCAGGTTGTATAACAAACCCCGTACAATCATCTCTTCTATCTTGGCCAACAAAAAGGCAATCAAGGAAGCTGTTGTTGTGAAAGGTGCAAATGTGCTTATAAAACAGAGATCACAAATACTCGAAGATGTGGAGAGACTGTTGTTGGTGTGGATCAATGAGAAACAATTATCAGGAGATAGTGTTTCACAGTCAGTTATATGTGAAAAGGCAAGGCAGTTGCATGATGATCTCATTAAGAAAATGCCTGGAACTAGTGCTCATATCGGTGAATTTAAGGCCAGCAAAGGTTGGTTTGAGAGATTTAAGAATCGTAGTGGCAAACACAGTGGGATAAGGCATGGTGGGGCTGCCAGTTCTGACAAAAAAGAGGCTGAAAAATATGTGCAGGACTTTAAGGGGTATATGACTCAAGAAATTGTAATGACACAATTGCAAACAAACCATACCACGGATGGGGTTTGAACCTGCGGTAAGAGAGTCTCAAAACTCCAGACCGTTGCAACGGTTTGGAGTGTTGAGACACTCTTACCACGGTTTCAAACCCCATCCGTGGTATTAATTCAAGGATTATGTGGAGTAAAATAAAGGTTGGATGTGAGAAGTGGGTTATAGTAAGCATATATGCACCTGGGGAAGAGAGAAGTATAGAGGACAGAGAGAGATTTTGGGAAATGTTGAGTGAGTGCATGGGGAGTTCTGAACCAAGTGTGAGAGTACTTGTGGTTGGGGATTTTAATGCTAAAGTGGGTAAAAATGTTATGGAGGGAGTAGAAGGTAAATTTGGGGTGCCAGGGGTAAATGAAAATGGGGAGCCTTTAATTGAGCTATGTGTAGAAAGAGGTTTGGTAATAATACATATTTTATGAAAAAGAGGATAAATAAATATACAAGGTATGATGTAGCACGTAATGAAGGTAGTTTGTTAGATTATGTACTGGTGGATAAAAGTTTGATGGGTAGGCTCCAGGATGTACACGTTTATAGAGGGGTAACTGATATATCGGATCATTATCTAGTTGTAGCTACAGTTAGAGTAAGAGGTAGATGGGATAAGAGGAAAATGGCAACAACAAGTAAGAGGGAGGTGAAAGTGTATAAACTAAGGGAGGAGGAAGTTCGGGTGAAATATAAGCAACTATTGGCAGAAAGGTGGGCTGGTGCAGGTATGAGTAGTGGGAGCTTGAAGAAGGTTGGAATAGTTTTAAAAATGCAGTATTAGAATGTGGGGCAGAAGTTTGTGGACGAATTTGGGAGTGTGTGTATAAAGGTAGAAAGTTGAAAGTCAACATAGAAAAGAGTAAGGTGATGAGAGTATCAAATGATTTAGATAAAGAAAAATTGGATATCAAATTGGGGAGGAGGAGTATGGAAGAAGTGAATGTTTTCAAATATTTGGGAGTTGACATATCAGCGGATGGATTTGTGAAGGATGAGGTTAATCATAGAATTGATAAAGGCAAAAAGGTGAGTGGTGCATTGAGGTACATGTGGAGTCAAAAAATGTTATCTATGGAGGCAAAGAAGGGAATGTATGAAAGTATAGTAGTAC